ATGACGTTATTGCTGTGTATCTGGTGATGAATTTAGTGCTGTGAATCGATAATCGATTAATTATAATTTAGTGCTAATATCATCAATGAACTGTAATTTTTGATTTTCTTTTCTCAACGTTTGGGAAATTTTAATTTTAAAGATATTCCAGGACCAAATTTGCACAGGAACACAGTAAATTATAAATTAGTAAAGGTTAAATATTACTTTTATTGTGATACAAAAATAATCGATTAACCAATCAGGTGATAAATAACCTAATCGAAAAACCCACTCGCCTAATAGAGCTCAAAATTCGTCACTTCGATAATCACTTCACTTTTCCTCCCAATTCACTCCGAAATACTTCACTTTTAATGTGTTTTCACTTCGCTCGAAAATTAGTAAACGGCAGCACTGGCCCGAACACAATGAAAACGACGAGCAACGGACCACAGCTGTCGGGCTACGCGACGACTGTGGTTGTGGCCAGATTAGATCTTTTTCTATTTTTCCAGCGACAGATAAGGTTCTTCCTCTTCTTTTATGTCAAACTCATACTAATTCATAATGTCGCTGCCGCGTTCAAAGAAATCATGTCGCCATCGACAAAGCGTTTAGATAATGAAGATAACAAATTGCGGGCTGTGGCCCGTAGCTCATCGTTTTCAATGTGTTCAGAACTTCATTTACAGGATTTTGGAGGAATTTTGAACACGGGATCATTTTTCCTGTAACTTCCTGCAAGTTCGTGTAAAACCTGTAAGTTCATGTAGTACTGGATCAGAGCTGTTATCAGAGCTTTTATCTTGATAAATATTGGCAGCAATTTGGTACTTTGACAGCTAAGTTTTCATATGCACGATAACTTCGTGGCGGCAACATTAGACATGTTTTATTTAACCATCACAAGCTAATAGCTAAATTGGTATAAGTTACGAATCCGAACGTTGCAAAAACTAAAAAATTAGTACGGACGTCGATAAAGGTTTCTGGTACAAGTATAACGGTATAATTTTTTTGGGGCGGAAATGACAACAACGGTAGTTACGAAAGGTCAAATGAAGCGCTTTTTTCAAATCCAAGTATCTCGAAAACCATCGCACGGATTCTGCAATTTTTGATGTCATTCAATAGGAAATATGGTTCGCTTAATTAGGTATACAAATGTTATATATACCTTCTAAAGTTTTAGCAAAAGTCCAATCTATGTAAAAAGAAATTTAAATAGTTTTAAACAAACACATTTTCCTTTAAAAATTACCTTATTAATTACATTTAAAAATCCTTTAAGTAAATAGCACACGAATAAAGCTTTCATCTGATATACAATATGTTGTGTTAAGTCCTCGCTATACAGAGGGTTTAAAATAAATATATCCCGTCGGCCCAACTTGGGCTGCGCTGTTCAGAG